GAAAAGCCTACTAGAACAGCTGAACTTTATTTGGGGTTAATCAGAGGCACTTTAAATGATGGCAGGTGTGTACTGACTCCTATTTAACATGAGTTTGAATGTGATTGCTTAATTCTGAACACAGCCACATCCCCAGTTATAAGAGGGTGTGCACACTTATGCAACCACATTATTTTGTTTTTTTTATTTTTACTCGCCCAACCTAAAAGATTTCAGTTTGTTTTTCAGATGAGTTGTACAGGTTATAGGTCACATTAAAGGTGAAAAAAGTTCTGAAATGATTTATCTTGGTCTCATTTTTTTACATCACCAGAAACCTGGCATTTTAACAGGGGTGTGTAGACTTTTTATATCCACTGTATACATATATATATATATATATATATATATATATATATATATATATATATATATGTATATATATATATATACTTTTACCACAGCCCTATCCACAAGCATTAGAAGTACTGTTGGGCTGGATCCACCAAAGGCAAAGTCCATTTTACTTTAATCTGTTCCCAAAGCACCTTGCCACTCCACTGTTTTCTAACTCTAGAGTACATGATGCAGTCACAACATCCTGAAGCAACAACTGCTGGCAGCACTCAACTTTTAAAAGAACTCGGCTGAAATGTATCCAAGACAGCATGTGTGGCAAAAAAATGGGCTATGCTACATCAACTATCATATACCTTGCATAATCAATAGGAAACCAGGTTGAAGATATGAAGCATTTTTAGGCTACATTCTCATTACCAGGTTGAAGATATCAAAAGTTTTCAGTCCAGGAAGGTTGGAAAACATGACATTTTTTTTTATGATGAGTCAAATATAGAAAATCATCTACTACACAAAGCTTACAATGCCATTTTGGACTTTTCCTAATGAACATATTAGAGATACAATTCCTGGCAGCAGTTGCTGGCAATGTTGGCAGTGTATCATGGGCATAACACACCTGAGTCCTCCATTCTTAAACCCGGTGTTAATTGTGATTCACGCCAACACATGGTGTGGTGGTATGCATGGCCAGATTGGCACAGCAAAGCCTTTTTACTGGGTCTAGACATTTCAGCTAAACATAGTTGTTTAATGTCCTAAAATATAAGTAAGCATCACTTAAGCACCTGGTTATCACATGTAAAAGTTCTGTATGTGTTCCATAAACGTTGCTGTGGTTGTTCAAAGGCCACTGCATTTAGCAGAAAGGAGCCAAACAGAGCGAAAGACATGCGCCGTGCCAAATCAATGAGGAAACTTAATGTAAAGTATTTTCTTAATCTTTTTGCTATACTGTAGCATACCGGTTTGTGAGTTATATTCCACATTTCCCAGCCCCCTTCCTCTTCTTTTTTACTTTTATTTGTGAGCACTTGTATGCTAATGAGTCCAAGCACATGTCTTTTCCGCAATAATATTGTAATTTTATCCGAAGGGGTCATAGTTAATTTAGTGTCCTAAAAAAAATAACTGCATGTCGTTCTTCCATGAGGATGTGAAATGAATTCTGGGAAATGAGAGAAAATTGGTGAGGATGAGATGAGTCCCGTCCTCCCACTGTAGTAGGCTAAGTATTTGGATGCAAATACAAACATGTATTCTGTAATATTCCTCAATGTGAATAGGATGTTTGGCATGTATTATTAAATAAATGAATATTTAAGTGAATATTTCAGTGAATTTTCTTGTTCTTCTTTAGCGTAACATATGACACACTTCAGTATAGATGACTTTATTGTAACCCCTCTTAGGGTGTGTTGGAGGGTCCGCACCCTGATTAGTAAATAATATACTTTAAGATGAATACCTGACTAAAGGGTTAAGATAATCAACTAAGATAGAGCGCAACATTAAATTAATGCGTTAAAGACAGGAGTGGGAATAATAATGAAAAATTATTCTTAAGTGTATTGAAATTATAGGTAATGTGTCAAAACCTTAATCAATTAAAAGTGGAAGTATCCAGGCAAAAAACATGATAAAGTGAAAGTTTAAAAAATTTTGTATTAAAAAGTATTAAAAAGTTAAAAAGTACATGATTTTAAGTGATGAAATTAATTATCAGCATGTTTTCATATAAAAGGTAACCTTTATTACTTACTTAAATCTGTTAGAAAATGTTCATTTTAAAGCAACTATACTGTTTTTCCTAGAAACATCATTCAATCTCTTTAGGTCACGGTTATTAGACTATGCAGTTTGCTAGTGAATTAATTAGAAGTAAAAAATAATGTAACCAATATTTACCATTAGCTAGAAATTGAATTGTTTGCTAATATATGTTAGGTACTGAAATCTATACTAATCTAAGCTGACCTTAGCAATGAATACAGGCTAACTTAGTTAAATAGACGGAGTTAACATTAGCAAATGAGTGAAACTTAGCTCAACATGCTTTTTTTTTTTTTAATTAGATGGAGTTCATGCCTTCTAGGGAAGCAAAGGAGATGCCTCCTTTTATACATGCTTACTTCAGCATATTGTTGAGTCCATTTCAATTTCAATAATACTCAAGTAATGTGTAGATACACCAAAATAATACTTAATTATAGTAACGAAGTACAACTACTCAAGTATTTTCCATGCCGAGTTAAAGAGAAATCGCCTAATTATTTAATCTAAATGTAGAAACCTTAATTATGCTTTATTATGGGGTGTGCCTCAAAGTGATTACAGATCTTGAAAGCATCTTTTCTTTCATTTTGCCTCGCATCTTTGGGGTTAGGGGTTTGATTCTTGCCTCCATCCTGTGTGTGTGGAGTTTGCATGTTCTCCCCATGCTTCGGGGGTTTCCTCCGGGTACACTGGTCTCCTCTCCCAGTCCAAAGACATGCATTGTAGGTTGACTGGCATCTCCAAATTGTCTGTAGTGAGTGAATGGGTGTGTGTGTGTGTGTGTGTGTGTGTGTGTGCCCTTAGATGGGTTGGCACCCCATCCAGGGTGTCCCCCGCCTTGTGCACCAAGTCCCCTGGGATAGGCTCCAGGCTTCCCGTGACCCTGTGTAGGATAAGCGGTACAGAAAATGGATGGATGGATGGATATATAGACTTCCAGTTAGGACAAGAGATGGAGATGACGCACTGTGACCCACAGCCTTCCAGCTAAAAGTGAAAGAATTTTCCAAAGCTCACTGAAATGGATCCAAGTTGTATTCAAATTATTTAAGCTTCTAATTATTTAACTTAAATGTTAAAATATATGATAAATGATTCTGCAGTGATGTAATGCTTCCTACAGGTGGCACTATTGAATCACTTTCAAACCAACTCAATTGCTGGTGTATTATATTAAAGAATGATACTTTATTTTTGTTTTGTTTGCTTGTTTTTAAAGGAATAGACTATTTTTTTCTACAGTTTTATGTAATGTTTGACATGAATGGTCCAGCTATTAGGCTTAAAATCATACAATCTGTAGTGTTCAATCAACTTTAATGTTGATTTCACACTTCAATACTTAAAATAAATCCTTAATGATTATTTAAGTTTGAGGTTCTATGGCCTTTACAACAGCAACATGCAATATACATTATGCTAAAATGGGCAGTGGTGGCTCAGTGGTTAAGACTTACTACTGATTGGAAGGTCATGAGGTCAAATCCCAGCACTGCCAGGCCGCCTGCTGGGCCCTTGAGCAAGGCCCTTAACCCTTTAACTGCTCGGTTGTATAAATGAGATGAAATATAAGTCACTCTGGAGAAGGGTGTAAAAATGGTACACTTAAATATAGCCTAATTGTAGCAAAAAATTAGATAATACAAATATTAAATTCTCTCACAGTTACAAATTTGACTCCATGTTTAAAGAGAAGTAAGAGAAAGTGGAATTTATATCAAAAGGACAGAAAGAAAACATGCTTGGGCTAATGATAGAAGAATGTAATGCATGAAAAAAAAAAAGGGAGAAAGTTTCATCTGAAGAATTAAATGTCCGACTTCTTGCTAGATTGTATTTTATTCATGCTTTGTTGCCACAGAGGTTTTAGATTCACGAAAATAGTGTATTTCATCGTGCTCCACTTTATCAAGTAACGCAATACACTTTATCTGACAACAAAATCTGCATTTAATCCAATTTAATTCAAATCAAAATTGAATCTAAAATACATTTAGTGACATTTGGTGTCCGAAAAGTAAAAAGCACCACAACATTCACAGTAGAAAGAAAACAAATTTTAAAAAAAAAGGTCTAAAATAACTGAAGTTCTGCTCAAAGCTAGCAAAACACGGGCCAAACTGAGCCTACTAATAATGCTATATCTTAGACAAATTATTATTATTATTATTTTTAAGGAAAATTTTGCAATATTTTAAAGCAATTAGGAAAATTAGCAATTAGGAAATCCCAAACATTTGTTGGTTAGTTTAGTGAAGTAATAAGGAAGCTGGAAAATAATTTGTTTTAGCAGCTGGTCAGGCAAAGCATTATTATTATTATTATTATTATTATTATTATTATTATTATTAATAAAAATAGATTGAGACCATGCACATTCACTATGTTAACAGCATGCATAGGTCTATAGGAGGAGAAACCCTGAGCAGGTGATTCTTTTCACAGTAACCCCCAGAACACTGCTCTTGGTAAGTGAAATGACTTGCATCCATGAAGTGACAGATTCATGCACACAGACCAGGCAAACACTGACCATCACAGTGACCCACCCACATTGCCTGAATTCACCCTGCAGTAGCGCGGCTCCGCCGCTGGGCGCCGCTCGCGCTCACCTTCGCTTTCTGTAGGGAACATTCTGTTCCACAGAGCTGCAGCGGGGACGCGCCCACGCGCGTGACCCGCATGTGCACTGTGCATTGCGGCGGCGTGCTGCTTTCGGATACTGCCAAAGTTGTTACTATAGTTACTATAAGTATTTACTAAATAAAAGATCAGATGTCAGTGGCTGCGATTGTGGTCTACTGCTGTTTTTGTGCTGCCTTCATGTAAGAACGACAGAGGTGTGGTGGTGAAAACAAGACAGAAAGTGTGTGTGTGTGTGTGCGTGTGTGTATATACACAGTCTGCCACGTATAGGTGGTCCTTAGGCTGCTTTATTATGCAGATGAATCGATGAATCGATTATGATTAGTTAGGCAAGAACAAGTTAGTGAAGTAAAAGTTAGTATTTTAACAAAGAAAAACATGTTTATAATAGTGTGTGTGTGTGTGTGTGTGTGTGTGTGTAGAGACCACAGCGTATAGGTGGTCCTTAAGCTGCTTTATTAATTTAATGGCGATTAATCGATTAATTGATTATGATTAGTTAGGCAAGAACAAGTTAGTGAAGTAAAAGTTAGTACGTTAACAAAGAAAAACATGTTTATAATAGTGTGTGTGTGTGTGTGTGTGTGTATAGACCACCACGTATAGGTGGTCCTTAGGCTTCTTTATTAATTTAATGGCGATTAATCGATTAATCGATAATGATTAGTTAGGCAACAACAAGTTAGTAAAGTCAAAGTTAGTATGTTAACAAAGAAAAACATGTTTATAATAGTGTGTGTGTGTGTGTGTGTGTGTACAGACCGCCACGTACAGGTGATCCTTGGGCTGCTTTATTAATGTAATGGCGATTAATTGATTAATCGATTATGATTAGTTAGGCAAGAACAAGTTAGTAAAGTAAAAGTTAGTATGTTAACAAAGAAAAACATGTTTATAATAGTGTGTGTGTGTGTGTGTGTGTGTGTGTGTGTGTGTGTGTGTGTACAGACCGCCATGTATAGGTAGTCCTTAGGCTGCTTTATTATGCAGATGAAGCGATTAATCGATTATGATTAGTCAGGCAATAACAAGTTAGTAAAGTGCTAAGAATCTGGTGGAGTTGAAACTCAAATAACAGATTAACAAAGTAAACAAGTTTATCATGCAGGCTATGTAAACAACACTGATCTGATTTATTATTTTTTTTAAACACTGACTGCCAAGAATAAAAGAAAAACAAATCTAATGCCAGTGTGTGCCTTGTCTGTTGTTTGCATATGTCCTGTCTCATTTCTTGGATGTAAATATTTTCACTTTCCAAGAACAGTGTCCGGGAGGATTACTGTGAAAAGGGTCAGGTTACACTCATTCCTCTCGGTGTTTCCTCTCATAGATGCATGCTACCGACCGACCTACTATTCTCTACCTACTAAAGTGCACGTGCGAGTAAGAAATGCAACACCAGAAATGGATGTACATGCCTTATATATACATATACATATATATATGGTGTATCATATCTTTGTTTGTAGCTTTCTTTTTAGGGTGTAGCATCAGTTACTGGAGATAGTGGCTGTTATGGTAATAATATCACCTTATGTGCAATACTGCGTCATAATTAGGCCATTAGATAAGACTGAATACATGCACGAGGCGGATTCAGTGTCTGGGGCAGTTCAGTGAGGTCGTTACCCCTCAGGCAGCCTCCCCAAACCCACACTACTGCCCTCAACACTGGGTAAAGCCTAGCACACAGGCCATACGTTGCTGTCGTTGCTTTAGCATGCTACTGAAGCACGCTTGAGTGCGGTTTAGGACACAGCATCTAATGGTTCTGGTTTCCGGGTGCGCGCTAGTCCAAGGCCACGCGCCCCGCCTGGAGAGGACGCGATTGGCCAGCGCGCGCCATATTTCCGCCGTTTGCATGGGGGATTCCTGGTAGCGCGTGAGACAGCGTTCGGGAAGTGACCAATCAGAGCGCGGTGTAGCGATGACGCCCAGGGATTCCGCGAAATTGTTTCTTTTGAGAAAGAGAAGAGTGAAAACACTGCGGCGGCGGCGGAGGAGGAGGAGGAGGCGGTGGTGGAGGTGGTGGAGGCGCGCGCGCCCAAGTTTTGACGCAGTTATGAAGAGAACTAGCAAGGCAACGGCACGACTTGGGGATTTTGTCCGGTTGGAAATTGTGCAACAGTTGTCCAAAGCCCTCTGGCTGTTTTCGACGTAGACGGAAAGACTTGTAGATTAGACGGATAATCACGGGTGGAAGGGTGTGAGGGTGGACACCACGTTTCCTGGAGCTGACTTCTGATAAACGAGTTGCACAAGAGCTGCGAAGAAGAAAAGCAACACTGTGTTGTTGGTTCAGGACACCTTGTAACATCTCGGAAGGGTCTTGTAAAGAAAAGCTCCAGACGATCATGACGGATGTGGATGTCGCCGCGACGCGCGCGCTGTCCCCCGCGGACGGAGCGGATGTGGATGTGGAGGCGGAGGCGATGGAGATGGAGAGCCAGGAGAGCCGCACGCTCCTGATGGTAGCGATGATCCTGCTGGATTTGAACCGGTGCGGCGGAGTGTGTCCTAAGAGCGCTGTAGAGAGCGCCGCAAACGGGCAGTCCGGCGTGAGGGACAAGTGCCGAGCGCCTGGGAGCGAGCGGCGCGTGCGCAGCCGGCAAGGCGCCGACAAGAAGCACCGCTGCCCCTACGCGGGATGTGGCAAGATCTACGGCAAGTCATCGCACCTGAAAGCGCACTGCCGTGTACACACCGGTACGTCCATGCTTCAACATTCAGCATAACGTTAAAGACTCCTGGAGTGATTTTTTTCTTTTTTTTTCTTTTTTTTTTTTGGGTTGCCAGACCACAATTTCCCCAACATCCTAGTAGACAACGCAAAAGATTGCAATAGATACCACTACAACACCCCAAATATATAAGGCATATTTATATTTCAGTCTGTATATAAGCCTGACATGTAATCAATATGATCTAGATACCAGAGCTCATTAAAAATGAAGGGGAAACTTGTGCAATCTGGCAACCCCGCACAGGGCGCACGTGCCACGTGCTGAAAGCGTGGAGATGCACTCTGCTGAGTGTAGGAAAAAACATCTGAAAGGGTGTTTAAACATAAAATCCACATACAGTGGACACATTCTAGGACAAAAATAAACTTCCGAGACTTTATGTAAATCTTTAACATGTGTAAAGTCGCAGAATGACCAAAGGAAAGGTTATATTTGTTTGTGGACATGTCTTATTATTATTATTATTATTATTATTATTATTATTATTACTTGGATTGCTTCTTTGACGTTTTGGAACTCATGGTTTTCTCTAAAGGCATCGCGTGTAGTGGCAGGGAAAAGAGGCGTGACGGCAGGAGGAAGGGGCGTAACTGCAGGCTGAAAGGCGGAACCATGAGGAAGGGGGCGTGGCTGCATGCGGCGGGGGGGCGTGACCGCAGCCAGAGCGTGCGGTGGGGCTGTGACGGGACAAAATGTTACTCTGAGAGCACAACAACAGTGTTCTGGCAGCACAGAGGAATGAAGTAATCCAGGGTTGCGTCACAGTATCTTTATAAATAGAGACAAAACAAATCCTGATCTGAGAGTGTGGAATTGAATGGAGAAGATTAATAATAATAATAATAATAATAATTATTATTATTATTATTATTATTATTATTATTATTATTATTATCATTATTATTTTTATTATTATTATTATTATTTTTTTTATTTATTTTATTTTATTTTTATTTATTTTTTTTATATAACATTACCATTATGGTGCATTATGGTAATCTGAAAAAGTGACGTCACCCTCTTTGACACACACACACACACACACACACACATTCTTTATGACCTGCTGTACCCACCCAGTGCACGTGACTTCCAATATCAATCT